CTCAACCTACTGTGGAGACACAACAGTGGAGAAGGAAGAGCCCGAGTGAAAACATCCTGTTCTTCCTGTCTGTGTTTGTCTAGCAGTTGGTTTGAGAACATTCACATTATTTTGATTCCCCTGTATGTCCCATGTTCATTCAGTATCTGCATTCTATTTCAGAATTGTATCTTGGGACTCCTAGCTGCCGGTTGTTGTATTACAGAATTTCTTTTTTTTTAACTTGACCCTTAACAATTTAAATTCAGATTTTTACCCAGAGCACTTCCTTTGATCTTTATCATGTTCGTCTAGAACAGGGGTCACCAACGTGGTGCCCGGGGCACCTGGTAGCCCCACTAGGTGGCAAAACCTGTAGTGTCAAAGACCATGTGTGGTGATCACGTCTAGAAGAAGACTATAAGAAAGCAGAACCCATCATGCATCTCTTTGTGATCGTTAGTTCATACCTTCAACACCCAGTAATGGGAACAACTGAGGGAAACAAGGGGTAAAACTGGATTTACTGTGTTAATACAGCTTGATTAGGATTTGGGCCTGGCTGAAGAAAATAAGGACACTGTGTTTCGTCCAGTTTTTATTTCATTTTGCCATTAATTCGAGCAGGTCATTCGGTCAGTAAGAAAACTGCACATTTAAACCTTGTTTTAATGGTGACTTCTGGAAACGTCTTTTGGAAGAACATTTGCAAATTGTTTTTGCCTTCCTGACCTCCGCTAAATGTTGTTTGAGGCAGAGAGGCAAAACAAAAAGGACTCAGAATAAAATTACACCTTGCTTTTAAACCTATTAGATTTCTTCTGTTTTCCCCTTTTAACCTACAAGCTTCCTTGATGTCTCCCGTCTTATTATTCTTCTGTTTCTTAAGTCCTTTGTCGTCGTGGAATTATGAATCACAGTGAGCACGCTCTTTAATTGCATTGAACTATTTTTGTTCCAACTCCTGTGGAGGAGCAAATAAATAACTGTCTGGTGCCACCACCAACAAGATAAGTGGAGTAAAACATGTTACCACCGAACCAGACAGCAACAGCCTTATGTAGGTCACCGGGCTGATGGATAAAATAGAATTTTTTTTTTAAACAATAAAGTGTATTCATAGCTCCTTGTGCCCTGGTTTGTTTGATTAAATATTCATATACTGTACAAGTGAAACATAGTGATTTGATTCAACTACAGGAGCTAAGTTAAAAGGTTAGAAGTTCAGATAACAATAATGAAAAACATTGTGTGTACAGGACGGAGCAGGGTCCAAATGACCTTGGTGTGAAAGGTATGCCTTGATGAATGCATTTCCTGTACGAGAGTCTCCGTCAGCGACATTACTACAAACCATCAGTTGAACTCCGTTCTGCACTGTCAGCTCACACTGAGTACGAATCGTGTCTGTGATGCAGTCTGTTGCCGTCTCTGAGCTCAAACTTGTTGTGGCTCTCTTCCAGCCTGTCTGGGCATGTGCAGAGAGGCACTGCAGTGCTGCACTGTGAAGAGGGACAGAAAGAAGCGGGTGGGATGGGTGCAGGTGGTGTGAGTGGGCATCATTCCCTGCAATATTCACTGTGTCATGCCATGTGTGACAGAGCATTAGGAGGATCATACAGTGTATTTGTACAATAACCCGCTGCTGCAGCCCAGCATTAGGGAGCGTCTGTGGAAAAGGTTAATGTCAATGTCAGTGCACTGCAAGAAACTGAATTGATTTTCACCGCACATGTTTTCACGGAACAGCTCGTTGGTTCACCAGAACTTGATTTTTCCGCCTGTTTCCTCCAACCCGCTCAGCCAAGGCACAGGCTGCATCACAACGCATGAAAGCACAATGTACAGTGCACTGTACAGGACTGAACTCTCACTCAGCCTGTGGCTAATGCAGCTCCTGATGCTGATCAACAGCAGAGCTCTGGATTGATCAACATCTTTTAGTCTGAAAAATGTTCTTGTATCTTTGTTTTGTTTTGTTTTGTTTTTCTTTGCTTTTTCCCATCTTTCTCTTGAGTAAACATTCTTTTTGGCTGAGTAACTTTTACTTTGTGGCACCACATGAGCTCCACCTGTGAGTCTGGAACCACAGCCATTCACAATGCAAACACTGTGGAATGACAATAAGAAAGGAGAGTGAGTCCACCTACAGTCACAGGAGAATGAGATGAGAAAAATATACATTAAAATAACACTGTATTATGGGACAGGCTCAAATTTTTAAATAAAAGGTCGAATTATTTTAAATGTGTCCACAGAGTAAATGGGGAAAAACCTACTTCTAGGGATTTTCTGCGTAGTTTTGTGGAAATAGATGACTTGACAAAAGAACCAGATATAATCACTTCCTGTCTCCGAGGCAGATGTTTTTATTAGTGTGGTCATTAGGCCCGTAGCTTTGATACAGTACCGGCGTGCAGCATTAATTGGTTGCTCGTGCTGTTGCAGGCGTTGCCTCTCGGGCTGCTGATGCATCAGAACAGGTGGAACATAAATGGCACAGCATGTGCACCTCAGAGTCGTGACGCACCCTGGTACTTCTAAAAGCTGTCATCCATTTTGTGGGCAATGATGACGATAGTGGCAAAGGGGGATGGGGACAAGAACTCTTGGTTTAAAGGGGCCATCAAGTGGCGAGAAACTGAACTGCACCTTCCATTCCAGGGCCCGCTGACTGAGCCTCGGAGGCTGTGGTGAAATGAAGCGAGAGGATCAGTGAAACACTGCTTTCCCCTGAGCTGAAACGGTCATGCGTGAGCAGCTCCTTTGAGTCAGACTCCCGGTGTCATTTTCTGCTAAATGACACTGGGAGAGATACAATGCTCAGTCTTAAATAGGAAAATGTACCTTTGTTATCGGAAATATTGTATTGGGTTTCTCAGTCACAGCCGCCCGGACTAATGTCACACTACAAATAAAGTTAAATCATACCTGACTGACCTCACAGATTGAAAAGTGACCACGGAGGCTGTAAGAGATACTGCAGGCCTCTGGTTTCGCTGGGATATTCTTTTACAGGCTGCTCAGTTGTCTGAACCAACTCCTTGTAATGCCACACTGCATTCCCAAGAATCTGAAGAACTATTGGCTTTTGCAGGTGCAAGTGAATCATGTTTTCTGGTCAGGTCAGAGGTCATCCAAAGGTCAAGATCGCTCCGGACCAAACGCCGCAGCGTGAGGGTAAAGGCTCTCTCTCAGATTACTTGACCCAAAGACAGGGCCGGATAATGAGGTAGGTTTCAGCTAACAGCACATAGAAGCTTCTAGATGACGCAGAAGCATTTGCCCTATTATTTATAGATTTAAATAAACACAAACAGTTGTAAAATATGCAGCTATTTTGTTGTTCTGGTTTTTGTAACAGCAAAGAAAATACTTCCTCTCCCTCTCTGGTTGATATTAAAGCAGCTTAAATGTCCTGAATGAAGGTACAACATTATCACTTTGTAAAAAAAATGTATGACTATTATTATTATCTCTATTACAACAAGTACAGCATCAGGTGTTTAAGTGTTGCCAGTGAATGACCACTGCATGGAAATAAGGGTTAGTAAGTGCAGTGCTTTAATAGAATAGAATAGAATAGAATAGCCTTTATTGTCCTTGTACAGTGTACAACGAGATTTGAGTGCTACTCACTTGGTGCAAAAAAAGAGTAGAAGACAACAGTATATACAAACATATAACAACATATCTTTGGTGTAGTTAGTTATTGCACATAGTTGTATGTTTATTGCACAGTGATCAATATGATCAGTAAAGTGTGAAATAGTGTGGACTATTTTAACTGGTTTTGTTTCTATTGTTTACTGCTGAGATAGCTTTCGGGAAGAAGCTATCTCTGAGTCTGTTTGTCCTGGTTTTGTGTGACCTGTACCGTCTGCCTGACGGTAACATGTCGAACAGAGAGTTACTGGGGTGGGACGGGTCCTTTATGATGTTGCTAGCAATAATATTGAGGAAAAAATATATAATATTAAATCAACAAAATACAAAATATTTGGATTATTTTATTTTCTCATTTCTTGATTTAATATTAGTGTGTATATACTTTCCCCTCAATATTATTAAAGCAGTGCACTTGTGAGCAGCATTTAAATATCATCGCTGTAAAACTGAGTAAAATCTGCCCCCTACTGGCGCTGTTTCGCACTGGTTAAATCTGCAGAAAAGATTAATGAACACCTACGTGTATTTTCTCGGGGCTAATAAAAAAAAGCCTGAAGTATTAGCTGCAGAGGTTAAATGTCTTTGTACGAAGTTTCATCCAGCTGTATTTATGTTTAAGGCAGAGTTTCAAACTTACACCTAACAGAACAGAAGCAACCTGACGGTAGGTTTATTTCGGTCCGTAGAGGTAATTAAATATTTACGCATTTAATAAGTATCTTTTAATTCTGTTTAAATTAATTGTATACATTCACAAGGGAGCAAATACTCGCCCCTAAGCCCTCCCCACTTTGTAGTCTTGTTATGTGTGATTAGTTATTTCAGGTCATTTAAGATACAGAGGTTTTAAATAGATGAATTTAATATTCATTGAATATGAATACTGTTTAATAAATATTGTTAGAACCACGAAAGAATATCAAGCCATTCTATTGGATGTTATAAAATGTGGTGGTGATTGGTTCGTGCACGTCGGCGCATGCTCAGAGGAAGTCCACCTTCCAACAATTCAGTTACCTGTAAGTCGGTTATAAGTAAAAAGTTTACGTTATAGCACGTCGTCCTGAACATTATTGTACGTATCGTACTAACCAATACAAGGTAAACCATTTTAGAGGTAAAGTTTATCAAATGTTTTACTTTTCATAACAAACCTGTACTTCTTTAGACTAAAATAACGTTTGTTATGCTAACAGTTTACTGGTTCAACTAGCAGCCCCCCCTGAGCTAAAATGAGTTTGCTACTCATTTAAGTCCATCTGTGCTATTGTTGTTCCGTTACCAGCCACCCGGTGGCAGCAACGATACATGTACGCGTCATGACGCACGGCGTGAGGGAAAGCGCGATAAAAAGCGTTAGCCCCGTGGGCACAGAATGTAGTCCCTGGATTAAAACTCCAGGAATTAAAAGCAGTTCATTCAGCAGCTGCGGCTCAGGAGTGCAGCGTTAGTGGGAGGCTCCATGTCAGTGGGTGTGGGTGTGAGTGTGGGTGTGTGTAGCACCGCTTCACACACTGACAGTGTGGAGAGCTGCTCTATGCCGGTGTGACTTCTGGGAGCACTCAGGTGCCTGGACCGATGAGATGATCCTGCACCAGACCAGAACTCCTCTGCTGCTCACCGTCACCTGCATGTGCTTCTCAGGAGGCTTGTTCTGGTCTTACCAACAAGAGGATGCCAGTAATGGGTAAATTTTTGGAAAACATTTTCAAACATTTTTTTTTAAAGATATGAAGTTAACTTTTTTTTTTTTTTTTAAAGATATGAAGTTAACTTATCCTATCTTTAAATGTGTTTTTCACAGTGAGGACTGCACAGAAAATAACATTTCCACCACTAAATATCCATGTGTGAAGTCGACTGGAGAAATCACAACATGTTACAGGTACTGTGTTCCACAGCCAGGGTTACTGTGAAATATTTGATAAACTGCTGTCCTGTGTGTCATATATCAGTGGAGGAATAAGGATTTAATTCAGTGTAAGACTGGGTTCATGTAAGTAAAATGTGACATTTTTAATCTTGTAAGCTATAATTATTTCTTTAAATCAATGTTGAAACCAAACTACTCTGTAAAACTAATAACTGAAAAACATCAGCAACAATAAGCCCCCTGTGCTCATTTTTATTGTAACCATGCATGTGAGAAAACCATTCTGAGTGAGTCAACTGTTGGTCACAGTTGGTCTGGTCTTCGTGTAATGATTAGCAAAATGCAAAACATGATGATTTTTTTTATATATAAAATGCCCTCGGTGTTTTGAAGTGATATGGAGATTAACGTGGACGTTCACTCAGCAGAACAGTGTCCAGATCAGATTGTTTGAATTTTAAATACTATGTTCAGAAGTGGGCGACTGGACTGGCTTTAGTTTCACCTCTCATCTTGGAGACTTCTTTTAAGTTCTATCTTCTTAAACCATATTTAAAATATGGCGCACAGATATTTCCAACACATCTGTCTTTGGTACGAGGGACTGCGATTGTAGTAACAGAAAAAAGGAATGTGTCTACACAGAAACAAACCTAACCAAAAAATGTATTTTTTATATATATAAATAATACTATGTTTATGTAAAGGGACTGCGATTGTAGTAACAGAGGAAGGAATGTGTCGACACAGAAACAAACCTAACCAAAAAATTTATTTTTTTTATATATAAATAATACTATGTTTATGTATTTCATTTAACCAACAGTTCTCAAACTATGGCACGTGTACCACCAATGGTACTCATGCATGTTAATTGGTTGGTTGATTAATTGGTTAATTACATGGTGCTGTGTCATACTACTAGGACTTAAGTACTATCTTTATTTAATGTGGTTTTGAACTCCACGTCTCAGAACAGCACTGCTCTCGTCCTAGGTCAACTAGGTCTCAGGATGAGGACATGTAGTTTTGGCAACACTTGGAATAATCCATGAAACGTTTCCAAGGAAGTCAGTTTTGGCTCCAACGATTGTGATTTATTTCTGAATCTGGTTTTAAGAAAACGTCCAAATGTAACATGTCTCTCCTGGGACGTCTTCCAGGACTTCATGTCAGAGCCCCTGGTGGTGTGTGGTGTGAAGTGCTCGCTGACGTCTTGTTTGATCCTCATGTCTCAGACACTCTCTTGACGTTTTCACACTGGTTTATGGTTATTGGCTGTGGTCACAGTTGTTTCCCACAGTGTTTATTTAAAGAAGGAAAAATGGTTTTAGTCCGGAGCCTGCGTCTACTCCTCTTCACCTGACGATTACCCATCAGCCCTGTCCACAGCTGCAGAAAGATTGTTTTTAATTGTGTCAGAAATTATTATAAATAATATGGATTGATTGAAATAAACACTTCTACACAGGACATGTGATCTGGAAGATTTCTGATTCTGATGTTAAGTCTGTTTTCAGGCCAAATGCATAGTTATTTAGTGTCATTGTTTAGCATTTGCAGCTATGCTTTAGTGGGCTATGGTGTTTTTTGCCAGAGGTCAGGGATTCAATTCCCAGCTTAACATAAATTACCATTTTCTTCAGTTGTTCAAAGAATGGCTAACGTTTCAGTTCAAGCCTTTGTATTTTTTTAATGAAACATCAGATAACTGGTTGATATAATCTGTTGTTGAAGTAGGGCTTAATGGTCTATTTCTGACATTTATAAAGCACTGAGGTGATAAGGGGTCACGGCCCCGGCACACTACTGTGTACACAGTTTACTGCATTTATCACATATGGAAACAGCAGCAGAGGTGACATCTCAGACCCTGAGATCATATGTCACAACCAAGTGGACTCCAACCACATGTGTCTTGGAGACCTGGTCCAGTTGTTTATTTTATATGTGAATTTAAAAGTATTTGCGCCAAATATAGTTTTCAGGCCCTGCAATACACAGGCTCAGAGTGGAAGTATTATTGTCTATGGCGTTAATTCGCCTTCATGTACCACTTTAGTGCTTCGCTAATGTCAAAATTAGTCGATTGAAATGATACGGTGTGACCTGTTAATTAAAAACTGGCAACATGACAACCGTGGCAGTGGTCCTTCTGTTGACGTGTGTTGTGTCTTTGTGTGGTCGTTGTTGGCTCCACTCACTGCTTATCTTCCTTGTATTTTGCCAAACTGCTGCTTAGTGCTGATGAAAACACTAATCCATCACTTATTTTGTCCAGAAAAGTTTTTGTGGTTTGCTTGATGAAAAAATATCACTGCAAATGTGAAACAAATCATCCTCGGATAATTTTGGATGGAAAGAGGAAGGGGAGAGAGCCAATTAGAATTGTTGTGTTTTCTGCTTTGATCGTTTCATTTTGAATACATAACAGACATTTTTTTGCTGCTCATATCTTTTATGAAAAATCTTTGAAAACTAAACAAGATAGGAGCTTGGGCCCTTTGTTGTGACATCACAGGACTTAGAACTTAAATGTTTAGAATTTCACCTGAAACAGTGATTACACTGGTGTGATTTATCATCTCTACAATGAGGCCAAACACAGGCAGAATGATTTTTTCCTCCTCAACATAATTATCGTGTGGCAAGTGTAATTGTTCTTATTTCTCTAAACAAATGTGCTGCTATGAGATACTTTGTTGTGTTAGTCGGTGCCTTTTATTTTTTTTCCTCAACACTTGAATATAGGATTTACACCATTACGATGCAGTGGATAACATTTCTATGCACCCCCTTGCTCCTCCACCCATCAGATGCACCTGGCTGATCTAAACACGCTCCCCCACCCACAGCCTCATCAGATGCACCTGGCTGATCTAAACAGTATGTGTGTAATTACACACATCCTGTAAATCATCTCATTCCATTTTACTTCAATGGAATGCATTTTTTTCTTCTGAAGTCATTACACAGTCTCTCCTCTTTATTTACCCTGCTGTAATCCAGGAGGGGGAGAATTCTTACAATTGTCAGACTAAAATAGTTTCCCATTAACTACAAATGGAAAAATGATGTATCTTGCAACTTCCAGTTAGGCTCAACCTCTGCAGGGGTTCTCCCAGGTTCCAGAGAAGTGATTACATAAGTCCAGATTTTGTGCTTGGCTCAGAGGAGTGACGACTCTCTTGTTTTTTCCACTCCCAGAACCTGGTTTTCACATCACGTCTTCAGTCTTCAGCACCTTGGAGTGTTGAGAAATTTATGCCCATCTCCAATTCAGATAGAATTCAGCATGAGAAAACATTTGAGGGAATCTTTTTGCGTATGAACTTCCAGCTGCAAGTATTTGTCACTTCCTAGTAGATACATTACAACCAGAGTATGAACTGCAGCAGATCTCAGGTATTACAGTACTGAGATGTGTGCTATAATAATAATAATGATAATAATAATAACAAGTGAGTGCCTTATTAGTGTTTGCAACACACACAGGCATTAGTTATTATACTTATTAGTGTTTGCAACACACACAGGCTGCCACAGGAGGCACCAATAAGTATATGGTTTCTGGGGCTCGAAACCAGTATCTTTTATTTGTGTAAGGCAGGCGTGATAACTACTGTTGTATTGCTGGACAATATAAAAAAGTTTGGTTGTCCCTTAATCAGAGGTCAGCTCAGTTTTCACTCACAGGGCCCTGATAAAACACAACCTTGGACAATATAGTCAAACCCAAAACCTTTGGCACAGCAGGCGGGAATCAAACCCCCATGTGACTCATTTTAAATGTGGAATTTTCTCGACCCCACGCACTAAGATTTAGTCAAATAAGTGTATTTGTTTAGCCCTTTAGGAAGATGCCAAACATAATTTGATTTAGTCTGTTTAATACACAGGATTCTTTATTAAAACACAACCCATGTAAAGTCATATTCCCAGTTTCAGATGTTCTCCATAGAGGATTTCTTTACAGACTTTTCAAACATTCTTTAGAATTGTCAAGTTTTGGATACATTTTGCAGGCAGAGAAAATAAACTTTGCTGGAGATGTTGTGGAAAAAGTTAATATTAAAAAAGGTGCCTGAAACACAGACCATTTGCCCCAAAGAGACAAACCAAATAAATAAACACGATTAGCAATTTCACCGTTGCTTTTCGGACGAGAAAATAGTTCATTTTGATGAAGTAAATAAGTCACCCGACGAAGGCCCGTGAAATTAGTCCAAGCTGTTTCTCAACAGCCCTTTGAGAGAAAACTGAGTTTACCAGAATGGACTGCGGTAGATACAAAGTCAGATAACAGCGGTGGAAATCATTCCAATCGAAAATACCTCACATAATTTGTCATACCTGCCATCATTTCCCAGTCAAATACTGGACTGAGAACAGTTGGAGTAGCAGTGAAAGATCCAATCCAAACAATTGATTTTTCTTTTTTTTTACAGGGTATAAACTTTATTTGGCATAGAAAGCAAATGTGTGCTAAAGAACCAACACAACCTTTGGAGTGAAGTCAGATTCACCCATTAATTCATCACCATCCAAAATGTCCTGTCAAACAACATCTGTTCTCCATCAATACTCAGAGACGGCACAAAAACCTGTTAGCTGAAGTGGAGCACTGTGGTCTGAAGGAGTCAGTGTCCTGTTTGGTGTTCCTCAGAGATGACACCTCCCACACAGTTTATAGTGTGAGGTCAGCTGCCATGAATGGTTCATGTCCACCTAACCACAGGGCTGACACATGAATATTTCTAAAAATAAATTAAAGTAAAATCTGATTATTATTTTTCTTTAACTAAAAGGACTGTACAGCTTGTTTGGTGTTTTGACTGACAGAAGTTAAGACGAATGACTTGCTCATTAAAATGTTCATGTTCTGTTGGTGGTTCTCACAGACTCGTTGGACCATGTGTTGAGTGGGAGCTGCTGGAGAGGTTTTTGAAGTTTGATTTAGATTCATCTTTCATCTTTGCTTCTACGGGGCTTGACAATTTTACAGAGTGTTT